TAACCCCATCTCTATTTTAAAAGAATGTGAAGTGTGACCTTCATTTTCCTTTTGTCCCTTCTTTCCTGTCCTCCCCTCCCCTCCATTCTCCTTTGCATCCCCTGCTACCCAGCTGCAGAAGTTAATTATATTCCTCAGTTTGCAGCCAGTTTTCAGGGTGATCCCTACAACTTTCCTCTCTTTTATTTATGTATTTATTCCCTTTTATCTCTATTCCTAACTTGAATTTCCCTTTGCATCATAGGTAACTGCTCTAATGTACTTGATTTGCATCCTTCGATTTATAATGTACCCTTGTAAAGTATGTAGTGATATTTTGGGTGGGAATGAATTTTTAATATTTTTAAAAGAATGCATTCGATATTTTGAATCTTTGTAGGCTTTTCAAGGTCCATTCATGTTACAGTATTTACACGGAATTTGCTGGTCCTCACTGCTGTATAGTAATCCATGAAGTTTATGTCTCACATGATACTCCCATGATGGACAGGTCGATTATTTCCTACTATCAGCCAACACTAAGAGGCTTGCATTAAACATCCTCTTAATGTTCTCTTAGAATTTCTCTGGGAGTGGGATTGCTGGTCAGGGATTATTCATGACGTAGTCAGTAACATTTGCTGATTTGACAGAGTAAGTACTGTCAGATGGCAAAACGCAGTGGTTTCTCCAGGCTACAAGGCCCCCACCAGTGCACAGGATCCATTCCACATGCCCACCAGTATTTGGCCTTATCCAGTTTTCTCATTTTTGCCAATCTCAAGTCTCATTGTTATAATTTTCATTTCTCTGGGTTACTAAGGAATTTGAGTATTAGTTAAAATTAGTTAATGTATTCTAGAATTTATTTTGGTTTCCCTTTTTGTAGATTCCTGTTCATATCTTTTGCCCATTTTTTTCCCCCGCTGTTGGATTTCTTATTGCTTTGTTTGGAGTTCTTTTTATTTCTAAGTACAGTTCCTTGTTTGTTTAAAATATCTTCTCCTGGTGTATTAATGCATGTCCATAGTGTCCTTCAATAAGTAGAAGTCCTTCATTTTGAGATACTCAAGTTCATGAATTGTTTTACTTTTTGAGCTCTGTTTGGAGGTCTTTTTTTTTTTTTTTTTTTTTTGCAGTACGCGGGCCTCTCACTGTTGTGGCCTCTCCCGTTGCGGAGCACAGGCTCCGGACGCGCAGGCTCAGCGGCCATGGCTCACGGGCCCAGCCGCTCCGCGGCACATGGGATCTTCCCAGACCGGGGCACAAACCCGTGTCCCCTGCATCGGCAGGCGGACTCTCAACCACTGCGCCACCAGGGAAGCCCTGTTTGGAGGTCTTTTTAAGAAGCCATTTTCCCTTCCACAGAGGTAATCTATATATTCTTGTGTTAGCTTTACTTTTTCACATTTATCTTTTAAAACCATCTGGAGTTTACCTTTGTAGATGGTGAATATGCTGTAAAGACCCAGTTTCATTTTTCTCTTCTATTATGGTTATTGGAATACATTTGTTTGTTTGTTAATAAATTATGCTAAAATATTGATTGGAATTATATAGAATTTATAGATTAATTTTGGGAGAATTGACATCTTTATAATGTTAAACTGTCCCATCCGTGAGCCTTGAAATATTTCTCCATATTTTTTGAGTTTTGGTTTGGATACTTTCAAGTCATCAGACCAGCTAGGTGTAAAAATTGATCTGATATAAAACAGTTGACTTGGTTGATATGATCAAATTTGTCAAGTAATAGGAAAAAAAAAAACCCTAAAGCTACACTGATTAATTCTATAGGTTAATTATATAGATTTGAAATCATCATATTAGCCCTTTTAATATGTACTTTTTATAGTTTATTTTAATGTGTTTTCCTTTAAACTATAATATATCTGTAAAAGCTAGATTTTAACTGGTTTATATGTCAACAATTTTTTTTCCTACTTTTTGTTTTATCACTGAAACATGAACAACTTTTGTGAAAAGGTTACTATTTAGTTGACTGCTAATAGGATTTAAAATTTTAGGTTATATTCTGTAGGGTAGCTTTATATTTTTAGAAGTAATCTTGAGGTTAGCATTGGGTTCTGGTAGCATTGAAGCAAAAATCAATAGTATTTAAATTTAAAAGTATGGAATAGTAACAATAAAAAAAAAGTAGGCAAAAATTTTAGGCTTAGTCTTGTCAGCTCTTACTTAAAAACCTAAACTCTCTTTTGGTAAACACAGTACTAAAGAGCAATTAGGAAGAAGGGATTTTGAAGAATTGTTTTCATATTTGAATGTGATGAAATCCTCTATGTCAGTGCCTTTCAGGCAGAGACCAGCAGGAACACACTGGTAGTAAGGAAGTTGGCTTAACTACTCCTTGCACTGAAGGAACACTGCACCATTGGGATCCTGGGGAATCTCATTATATGCCCTGTCATTGGATTTGGATTTTGGTTGGGTGACTTGGGAAAGGGTCTAAGGAAACAGGGGAGTCCTCTAGATCGGATGCTGGGACAATTCTATCTATGCCTGGTTAAAGAAGTCATTCGTTTAGCAAGAGAGGGGGTTGTCTGGTATTTTGTGGGTTGTACAGTGGCCTTTTTCTTTTTTGTGTTTAGTAGAATTATGAAGTGATCTTGGTATCATTTACCATGGTCTCAAAGTAACCTTGTCTCCAGCTGTTTTCCTGTTGTATATGTACAACAGGAGAACAGAATGGCCTGTTGGTGAGTGTCAGATGAGTTCAGGACATCAAAGTCTACCCTTTCTTTCCTCTCTCCCCTACTCCCTCTTTCATCCATAAGCAATTAAAATTATTTTAAAAATACGTACTTAATTTGGGAATTTTCTTCTTTTTGTAGTTACCTAGGGCAATGACTTAATCATAAATACATGAGTGATTTCTGTTTGGACAAAAGAAACTTAGTAACATGCTGTGGCTTTGCCACAGATAACTTTACTGATGATTTTTAATTTATAAGTTGTAGTCTTACTTTGAAATAAGCATCTCCTCTGCTGCCTTTCCCTGCGGAAGGCATCTTAGATTCTTTGCTCTTACTTTCCCCCCTACCTGGAATCGCTGGTCTTTGCAAGACTGCTTCCTTATCCTCAGTTTTTAGTGATCACACCCATTTCCCTTTTTCTAAGATATCCCTGTTTAAATTAGCCTCATTCCCTCCATCTTACTTTGTTTTATATTGTTTGTAGCACTTATCACCTGAAGTTAATTCATTTCTTCTATTGTGTGGTCCTCCCATCCCCACTCCACTCCCCACTTCAAACATAAGCTGCGAGTGGGTGAGAACTTGTATGTATGTGCAGTTGTGCCAGCCCCCAGTAATGTTTCTGGCACAAAATACGTGCTTAAAAAACAAGTACATTTATGAATTAATAAATGAACCACTAACCAAATGAGTAAATGTATATTCTAGACATAATTATGTATTTGTTGACTATTAACTATTAATTGGGCTATAAGTACTTGAGAAAAATGTCAATCAGTTTCTCTGGAAATATGCCTTACTATTCAAAGTAATTTCCTGCTATAATTGTTTTTCATCATCTGTGTTCAAAGACTATGGGTAAGATGGGATAGAATTATAATGATGTTTTCCTGGTGCTTAAATTACTAGTTGGATGCATTGGCTATTAGAAGTTTCCACTGAGCCATACTTTGTTATGTTGGTGGTGGGATGGGGGGTTGGATATAAAATACGTATGGTGTTTTGCCTATTAAATTTGAAGATAATCATAATTTATTTTACTATATGTTTTTCATACTTTTTATTTTTTTAACTTTTATCTTTCAAAAAGATAAGGATTCAATTTTCTATGGACTCATAGTGCCAAGGCCTATTCGTAGCGTGTGAATGTTGGTTTGCAGTGAAAGATGAAACTTGGTGTGAAAATATTTATTGAGTATTTGCCACGTGGCAGGCACCGTCTTAAACACCCTACGTATACAAGCTCATTTAATCCTTGTCAACAAAACCAGGAGATATTATTCTCCCCCATATTACAGATGAGTAAACGAAGGCACAGAGTGTTAAATTACAGGGCATATAAGCAAATTTGGGATTGAAAGAGGCTACACATTTTTATGCATTAAAAAGTGATACCTCAAAACCCCTTTCATTCTTCATATACACCTATTAATTACCCAAATAAATAGATCTTGGCACACGTGAGCTTTCTCATCCTCATCTTCTAGTTGGGAGGGACTCTGATTTGAGGACCCGACACCCCATCTCCTTATGGGAAAGAAAGAAGACAAGAGAAGCGCCCAAGTTTGAGGGATAGGTCTGTTTGAGAGCCATGCTGTGTGGGCAGCTGTTAATGGGGTGTCTTATAATATTGAGAAATCATGATTATTTGGAGTGAAACATAAAGGGTGTACAGAAAATGTCGATTTTTAAGTGTGACTGTGTGTGAAAACACTGTTACTGATTTTACCATGTATGAATTTATTAACAGGAAGGGTATAAAAGAACATTATATGTGAATAAACCATATATACTTAACTGTTTTAAGAAGCATAGTGTTTACTGATACATTCTGATGACTATTAAGCCTTTTTATAGCTTTGATCTACTTAGTTATCTTCTTTTTTATTCCCAGTTCTTCTGTGTCATTTATTAGTATTTTTGTATTTGAATGAAGTCTTTATTTTAAGATGATTTCTTACAGTTTCTGGTTTAATAAGTATACAATAATTTCAGTCCATGAAGACCCCTACCAAGATTTGAAAGAGCTTCAAGTCTTTGTAGGTGATCTTAAGATAACATAGTTCTTGGCCTTATGATGAACTGTATGTGTATATCAGCTTTGAGACATATTTTTGTTTTAGGCTTTCATTGTATTTAATCCCCTAGTTTGATGAAATGTTGGAGTACAAAGGAAATAAATTTGCTTTCTTAAAAATGTTTTATGAGAGTTTTTTCTCTCATTGTGGTACTTCCTGACGGCCTGATATTATGTCATATATAATTGGAATGACACTCAGCCTGAATACTTCTTTCTCTTTTTGGCAGCATGGGGTAACCTTGGAAATGTTCTCAAGAGTCAGAGCAAAATTTCTGAAGCTGAAAGCGCCTATAGAAACGCTTTGTATTACCGAAGCAACATGGCTGACATGCTTTATAATTTGTGAGTATGCGTTGCTTTCTCTGGTTTGCTTCATCTTTGAAACATGTGGCGAGAGGGGCTATTGATTTAACTGCTGGAAGTGGAGATGATGGTAGCTGATATTCTGAAATAGTCTTTGCATGAATCCTGCCTCTGAGATCAGTAAATGGATGGTATTTGTGATCTTGGTTTTGGGCCACATCATTGATATTCATGTGTATTGATATAATATGGCTGAGGTTTTTTTTTTTAAGTACTATGCCATATAACATAAAAATTGGTTTAAATACTTTTAGCTTTTTTTTTTTTATAAAGTTCACATCATTAGTACTTGGTTGGGCTCATAAAATAAGGCTGCTATGTATGATACTCTATGTAATTGGTATCTTGATTTTTAATAATAGATTTTATTCTCTGTTAAAGAATTGCTGGTGTCAAAGTATATATAGAACATGAACTAAACCTGGGGAGTTATCAAATAAGATAATGTTTTTCTTTTATTTTTCCACCCCCTCCTCCAATGGTAGTGACAATTAGGTTGGGATAATGGGATAATTTAGGATGTCTGTGTTATGTTAGGTTAGAAAAATCCCTGGGGAAAAATCTGTTCTGTTATTTGAATGGAAAGCCCCAGGGGGTGCAGTTAGATGTGAGTGGATAAATGCAAATTAAACTGAAATCCTTTTTCTGTCTCTTGTATTTATGACACTCTTTTATTTATTAGTAATAGAAACTTAGTCTAAACTTGCTTAAACACAAAAGAGAATTTATTAGCCCCCATAACTGAAAATTCCTGGGGTTGACTAGATGAAAGCACAATTAGATCCAGGTGTTTTATTATGTTTCGGTTATTTGTCTCCATTTTGTGTCTTTGGTTTCTTTTGGGTTCACTCCTTTCTCTGTGGGACTCTAAGTTAATGAAATGACTCATGCACCTTTATGCATATAGACTCTTCTCAGTCTCTGAAGGACTTGTCTTAGTGTCTCTATTAATCCTGGAAAAAGATCTCTGACTGACCTTTCTGGGATCATGGATCGTTTCTTAAATGAAACTTTGGACCGTGTGTCCAGGGCTATAAGAGCCCTCCATTGACAGTGCCTCTGGGGTTGGAATAGAAAGGAGGAGGACCAGTTCCCTGTGGGAAGGGACCAGGCATATAAGATGTCTACTGCTTGTGTTTAATGACTGCTATGTAATATTGACAGTATTAAACTAATTTGTCAGCTTCATTTTTTTTTTTGCGGTACGCGGGCCTCTCGCCGCTGTGGCCTCTCCCGTTGCGGAGCACAGGCTCCGGACGCGCAGGCTCAGCGGCCATGGCTCACGGGCCCAGCTGCTCTGCTGCATGTGGGATCTTCCCAGACGGGGGCACGAACCCGTGCCCCCTGCATCGGCAGGCGGACTCTCAACCACTGCGCCACCAGGGAAGCCCCCATCAGCTTCATTTTTAATGTGCCTTTGTGTTCTGGTTATGTCTAATCTTTTGTACTGGCTAAATCTAAAAGTACAGATGTAAAAAAATGTTTTTAAAAACCACCAAAATATCTAGATTTTTTAAGGGAAAGCAGACAAGATGAGCTCAGTTTAACTTCCTGTTTGTACATTTACCTTTTCTTTAACTTCCTAGACTTTAACCCTGGGGTCTCAGTCTCCTGGCCTATAGTCTAAATTAGGTCAGCATGTGTTTTGTGTTGACCTGCACAGTGTTCAATTTTCTCTTTTTTACCTGGGATGCCTTCAGGTGGAGCACTCCCTCTCCAGTTTACACACCCCTGATAATGGGATGTGTTTCATACTTCGTCATTTTCCCCGGTCAAGTAATTTGAGATTGCATCTTTTTCTTTATTTGAATGGATATATCTAGATACAACTACAAAGGCTTTCCCCCCCATGTCTTCTTCATCTAAATAATGTGATGTTCCTATATTATTGATTAGTATTGATTACCGAATAGTATTTTTATTTCATGAAAAAGAACCTTATCAGTTTGACAAATTTACACAAACATTCTTTTTTTTTTTTTTCTTTTTTTTTGCTTCTGAAAGTAATGTTGTCAAAGGGAACTCTTGCCTTGCAATATGGGATGCCAGTTTGCTTCTGGTGCCCATTCTTCATACATTGTCAGGGGAGAAAGTAGCTGAACAACCAGCATCTCTTCTTTGAACTTGTTTTTCTCTCTCTCATCTATAGCCACTGGTTGAAAAGTTACCTACCTTCTGGTGTTACTTGTTGGGCAAGGGTTGAAAGAAAAAGGAAATGTGTCCAACCAGGCTTATTCTTTGCTGAGAAGAGAAATTTATTCAATTAGATGAATATACTTTACATGTAATTTAAAAGCTGCATCTTATAACTTACTCTGTGGATGCATATGTAAACTGTGAAAGCATATAGATACATCTCACTAAACCCTAATGAAAAATTCTTGCTGAAGAAGTGGTTATTAACAAGAATTGGTATCTTCCCCCCTATTAGTAGGAAAAGGGATATGGCATAATGCCATTTATAGTTTCAAAATCATTTTACTACTGTGACAGGTTTTTTTAACTATACTTAACTGTTAGCTCAAGTGGAGAGGCCTAAATTCCACAAGAAATGTCGGCAATAATTTTGAAGGATTACATAACCCATGTGGTTGACAGAATTCTGATACATAAATAATTATGTTTCAGAATAGGTGAGTTATTCAATGATTTTTAATCAAATATTAATAAGACACACCAAGATAGATACTTTACAACCTGTAATATCATATATATGTCTGGCCTCATATGTCCCTAGGAGCAATCTTATTTTTTTTTTCTGTTTATTTACATAGTTAGGAAAAAAGCCAGGTGTCCTCATGAACAGTTAGAGACTATGTGACAAATAAAATTTTTTTTGAGATATATATATGCTATTTTCATCACAATTTTTAAAAATTTATTTATTTTAATTTTTGTCTGTGTTGGGTCTTCGTTGCTGCGCACGGGCTTTCTCTAGTTGTGGCGAGTGGGGGCTACTCTTCGTTGCAGTGCATGGGCTTCAGTAGTTGTGGCATGTGGGCTCTGTAGTTGTGGCTCGTGGGCTCTAGAGTGCAGGCTCAGTAGTTGTGGTGCCTGGGCTTAGTTGCTCCACGGCATGTGGGATCTTCCAGGACCAGGGATTGAACCCATGTCCCCTGCATTGGCAGGCGGATTCTTAACCATTGTGCCAGGGAAGCCCTCATCACATAATTTTTTCTGACATACAGAAATTGCTCCTTGTTCTATTTCAAATCCTGAAAGAAAAGGAGTTTGCTTTGCTCAGTTTTACCAGTAAACTTAACAACATTCCTTTGTGGTAGCAGCAGGTGTTAATCACATTTCATATTATCAAAGTCTCTTAAAGATGTTTTATAACCAAAACCTGAAACTAATGAAGCTATTATGTTAGTTAACATGAAATACCCATATTTATTAATGAGTTTTAGAAGCTGTTGAGAATCATAAACTCCTGTTAGTTCCTCTACTTAACTTTAAATCAGTAACCTAGATTTTCTTGAACACATTCAATGTTCATGGATCTACGTGCTTTGTAAATTATTGAAAAAAAATCCTATTGCTAGAAAATTTTATTAGGAATATAACTTGGAGACATGCATCATTATGTAACTTCAAAACAATAATTACTAAAGAGAGGTACACTACCACTGGCCAGACACAGGATGATTCTAAGAGGCCAGAGATAATCTTTAAATTAATTCCTGTAATTTTATATTTATGTTTATATTTTAAAAATGTAACTAGCATGTCTAAATATTGTTCTAGGAGATAATAGAGAAAAAAAGAATGATTTGGAAAAATATTAAATAAGCAATAGTGCAAATAATATGTGGTTATATCTGAAGTTTAGGAAACTAAACTAAACTAAACATTGCATTAAAAGATTTTAAAACTTGAGGACATTTTTTTTTGCAGGATTAATACCAAGTTATATCCAAGAGGTACATATAAATTGGTTATATTTCTTATTTATAAAATGATGGAATAAGTTTAACTTTTTTTTCTTTCGGAGCAATTACTTGAATTACTTTTATGTGCCAACCACTTTTCTTAGTTCCTTACATATGTTATGACAGTTTATCTTCACATGAAGCCTACAAAATGAGGAAAATGCAGAGGTAATTGTGTAAGATCACCCAAACAGTAGAGGAGCCAATATTTGAGCTTAAGATGTTCTGACTTTGTAACCCTGCAACAATAGTATTTTTGCTCAAGCTGGCAGAAGTAAACCAAGGGTATGGGGGAAAAAAAAATCACAGTATGCAGCTGTCAAATTCAGAAAAAAAATTAATTCAAATTACTTTTCATATAGAAGTAAAGTACTTGGAATTACATCTAACAGAAAGTATAAGTTAATTTTTTTTTTATGATAGTTTACTGAACTCATGCTGTAGAATTTTGTTAAAAAGATCATGGGTTTGCACAACTGAGCTAAGAGTTGCTTTCAAGAAGAAGATACTGCAGAAATTGTTTTCAATTGTCTAAATCCATTAATTATCACATTGTTTTGATATCACTTCAATCCATAGTTACAGATTATAGACGTGCGAAATTTAAAACAGTGCTTAGGTTCTACTCTTCTGTGTTGAGGTATAATTGACATATAAGATTTGATTAGTTTCAGGTGTACAGCATAATGATTCAATATTTGTATATATTGCAAAATGATTACTACAGGAAATCTAGTTAACATCTGTCACCATACATTGTTACAAATTTTTTTCTTGTGATGAGACTTTTATTTAGCAACTCTCTCTAAGGAACTTTTAAATATGCGATATGGTGTTATTAACTAGTCACTATGCTGTATGTACGTTACATCCTCAGGACTTATTTATTTTATACCTGAAGTTTCTGCCTTTTGACCCCCTTCACCCATTTTGCTTACCTCCCCCCAATTCTACTCTTTTTTTTTTTTTTTTTTGCGGTACGCGGGCCTCTCACTGCTGCGGCCTCTCCCGCTGCGGAGCACAGGCTCCGGACGCGCAGGCTCAGCGGCC